CAGCGCGGAGGGGGCGGGGCCGCAACCCCCCTCCGAGTACATTTTGGTCGCTATCATCGCAATTATACCAAGTTTCTCTGACAGTTGTTCCGATGTCATGCGGTTATTTTGACACCAAATTTATGAAAATAGGGCATACCGTTGCTACAAACTTTTCAAATACCAAAAAAAAATAATAGGCTTAAATGTTAACTTTCCATTATGTGTGCATGACGTCACTCTCATGCGGAGGGCGCATGAGAGTGCCGACTCTGAATAACTATGACAACAAAATATTTTAACAGGTGGAATTGAACCTTTACAGATGTCAATAGATGTTCGGGAGTCGTTTCATTAGAGATATCAACTTCTGCTTAAAATAATAATAATAATGCGAAAGCACAGGTAGCAGGAGCTGGCGAATTAAAAATAAATTATATAGTACATGTCAGTTTTCCGGTTAGAAGCTAAAGATTTAATTGGATCTTAAAGGGCATTGGGTATAGGCTGACGGAGCTGTTAAGGTCAAATATCGTACGAAGTTTTGCAACTCCGCGCGTTGGTTCTTCATGCTATGCATATAATGATCGGATGTGAGAAAATATTTCATATTTGCCTTCTGGTCACTTTCGAAAGGTCAATTAACTCTGTATACCCTGTTTATTGATATTTAAAGATATATTATTCAAACCCTACTTTTCCGCGACCCATATCTAATCTTACGATATGAATTCTTAACATGATAATGAACTTTCAAAGGTGGAGAAAGTTCATAGCTGGTGAAGTTATGGGCTTCGCCGGGATTTTTTTCTAGAGGGGGCAAAGCACAGTCCCCCCCCCCCATAAAAAAATACTGTACTCTTCCAGCGTATTTCGATTTTTCAAGCGTGGACAAGGACATATGCCCCCCACCACCCCCCCCCCAAAAAAAAAAACCACCCATTAATTGACCAGTAATGACTTCGCGCCTCTTTTTCTTTCCCTGTTCCTTTTTTTTTCTCCTTAATTTTTTTTCTCCTTTTTGTTTTTTTTTGGGGGGGAGGGGGGTTTCCAGTTTGGGGGAGACGCCCATGTGAGAGATCAGCGGTCTTTGTATACCCATTTTCCACTATTACTTCAAAATGCCAACTTTTCATGTCCCAAGTCTAAATAATGAATCAGAAATTAATTTTGACTATTGTTCTACAGGATCTCACGAATTAAGACCCAAAGACGATTTTGTTTTTCTGATCCCCATGTCCCCTGTTTTCATGCACGGCGACGCAGGCGGAACAGAGTATACATATATAAATTATAAGAAGCAAGCCAGACAAAGTTACAACAATGCACCAGTGAGTTTGGTAAAAGGGTTACAAAATGTGGCTGGTTATCGTGAACTTGAAATAATGTTTCAGGGTTGGGTAAAGCGCTTTGGCTACTTTGATTCCGTGAAAAGATCATCAATCAGAAGTTTTGAAGAATAAAAGTGCTAAGGTAAACAAAGTTAATTGAACTGTCCCAGGGCAACGGAAATCTGATATGCTCTCCCCACATCGGAAATTATTTTAATGGACAACGGAATATCAGTATAATACATTTGTGAAGTTTCAATACAACCTGTTGAAATGCTTTGTTGTGGTCATCAGTCCGCACTTTTATGCGCCCTTCGACGTACGTTATGCAACGTTGAATGGAAAAGTTAACATTCAAGCTTATACCTGTTTTGTTTAGGTATAGCCCTATATTCATTAACTTGGTGTCAAAATGACCGCAAGACATCAGAACAACTATCAGAGAAACTTGGTAGAATTTAATAAACGCGTTGCGACGGTAGGAGCCAAAATGTACACGGAAGGGGGTTGCAGCCCCGCCCCCTCCGCGCTGTAGACGCCGCTCTTAAGTTAATAAGTCTGACCAAAAGGAACACTTAAGTTATATTTTCATATTCCACAAGTGCCAAGGTATCAATAAAAGTGGTTGCATTTTTGCAATTTAAATTTGTAGTTCATTTGCACAAGTTCAATTCAATCTGTTAGTCGGCCTGTCGTGCACGCTTTCATGTGCATGTACTTTTTAGTGGGAAAAGTTAACATTTAGGCCTACCTGTGTTGGAAAATGGACATTTCATGACGAAGTTATGCCCTATTTTCATAAACTTGGTGTCAAAATAACCGCAAGACATCAGAACAGCTGTGAAAGGAACTTGGCAGGATTTAACAAATGCCTTGCGACGATAGGAGCCAAAATGTACGTGGTGGGGGGTTGAGGCCCCGCCCCCTCCGCGCTTTTCCCGCCGCTCTTAAGAGTGGTTTTAGGTCAGACTAATTACCTTAAGTTATATTTTTATATTCCATGCGTGTTAAGGCATCAATACAAACTGGTTTCATTCATTTTCTCCTCTACCGTTGCGTTGCAACGGTATCAGCGAAAAGGAAAAGAAGGGGTGACGGCCACGCCCACCCTCCGCGCTTTTCGGGCCGTTCTTAAGTTAATTAGTCTGATCTAAAATCATTCTTAAGTTATATTTCCATAATCTAAGTTCCAAGCTATCAAATGATACTGTTTTCGTTCTTGTTCTCAAAAATTTGATTAAATGCAAAATTGGCCACATTTGGCATGTCGCCAATGCGCCTTTGTCTGATCTACCGAAACTTAACACTGGCCATTCTGTGATCAGGGTCGATGACACTATGCTTTAAGACAATCAGAGGATTTGTTCCCGAGATTTTGATTAAACACTATCCAGCTCTCCGTTTAGTGGACAGAACCTTAAAACGGTGATTGTGTTTAAAAATTCGCAACCTGAAAAGTGCATGAGTGATTTGAATTATTCTTGTACTAAAAGAAAGCTTATTAATTGGGCTTTCGTATCATATATTTCAAAAGTGCTACATGCAGAACTTCATTTATAAAATGGTCCTGACATTTGGGTTTCCATGGTTTTTTTACTCACCCAAGCGGGTATGAAAAAAATAGACCAAAATGACCAAATGTGTTGACGCTTTCCTGATAACATGTATTATATAAAAGCTATTCCAGTGCGTTGTCATTGTGAGAACAACTTGGTTAATCCATAGAGCAAGGAAAACAGACGTTTTACGGTATCGTAAAAGGGTCACGTGTTCATGTTCACACATACGTTCCTAGTGTGTGCTTGTATGGACAGTACATCATGACAAGACAACTTCGGGAAGACGTTTAGTTATGTTGTTTTTGTAACGAGCTGGCACAAATTTCGCTATACTAGCCGCGGTTTTCACGAACAGTGTTATTTCATCGGGGGGTTCATCGGCAACAAGACCGGCTAGTCGTTATTGCGTTTACATAGCTGCTTCGCGTGATGTACACAATAACTATGCTCAGGACTCCCCTAGGCCTGCTGGATTATGCGGGCGCGAGCAGACGAATATCTACTCCAATTTTGTTTTTTTCTTTATAAGGCCATGTACACTCTATCTGAGACGACTTTAAGGAAAAACGATTTGCAATTAGTTTCTCAATTAATCAACAAGTTTAAAAAAAAAATTCGATTTTTATTAAGCACAAACAAACCTTTAAGAATCCATTTTTAGAAAGCAGAATATATTGTCCTGGTTCAGGCGCCACGTTTGTTGCTGGCGGGATGTAAACACTTCCTGCCAGCGGCAGCGGAACGGGTTTGAAACTGGGGGGGCATCACCAAAAAGGGGCACTTGCTCGGCATTTTTTTTTAGCACATCCGTGCTGAAAGCTGAAAGGTCGACACGTGTTTTTCACCCGACACTTGGCCTCCGTAAATTCCTTTTCAAAGCGTATTGTATGGGTTTCTTGGGCTTTGTTTTCATATTCCTCGTTTATATGAAAACTATCTATACCATTAGTGGGCAATGGTTACTTTTAAGAAATAGAAAGATACTTTAAGGGCATTTTTTTATCTCGAAGGGGCACTTTTATGCTCGAGGCGAGGGGGCACATTTATGGCCGCAAAAGGGGCACTTGGGAAAGGCTGGGAGCAAATGCCCCCCAGCCCCCCCCCCCCCCCCCCCCCGGTTCCGCCGCCCCTGCTTCCTGCCGGTGTTTTATCAGCGGTTTAAAACCACCCACATGACGGGCTCTCGACCAATAGGAATGGGGAAACTGTTTCGGTTATTTATGAATACTCGTTAAATACTGCGAGGATTTTACATCCCGAGCGTGACGTACCTTGACATCACCTATACACTAACCGGCTGAGTGAAAAAACACGGTGGTCAAAAAAAACACGGAATCTCATATACATGTATACTATCACTAACATGGGACTCAAACCACATATACTAATGCATGGAGAATCTTTTTAGAAGAAAAATGAAACCAAGATTGTCCGATTCGGTCTAGTAGTTTTTGTTCTAGAGCCTTTTTTGTGAAGCAAGGTAGGGGTCATTTTTGTCCCGATGAATAACTAAACCGCGCCGTGGATTTTGACTTAACATTGCAATTAAGGGAGCGATTGTTATCTAATAATACCTACATGAAAGAAGTATCCTTCACAAAATAGGTTCTGCAGCAAAAACTACATGACTGAATCGGGATATTTTGGTATCATAATTCTTCTGAAAGGATTCTCCATCAATTGGTACAGGTGGTTTGAGTCTCAAGGTAGTGGAAGTATGCCGTTCCACGTTTCTTTTTTTGACCACCCTGTATAGTGCTGATTTATCAAGGGATATATAGCAACGGAATTCATTCGCGAGACCAAACAATAACGCATAGGTTTTCTCTGTTTTCTCAAGATGAAAAGTATTCACTGAGCTGAAACTTCAACAGGTTACGAAACAACATACATTTTTCACCAACTAAGGTTTAAGGAAAATCTACGGCAAAGGTTCGCATACCTTCGCTCAAACCGGATTGGAATCATGACAGTAATTAGCGGAAAATCGCATCGTCTGGGAAGCAGAATACTCCAAAATCAAATCCCTGGTACAGGGCAACTGTCAGCTAAAAAGAAAAATCAGACCTTTTATATGGCCTAATCATACAATCTACCCCTACGTGCCAGTGCATGAAACATTAGTACATACCTTGCACCGTAGTTGAGAGTGCGAACAGAACGACGAGGAACATTTTCTCCATGTTGCGCACTAAGAATCAACGAGACTTGTGAGCACTGAAATTTGATAACCAGCTTTATATCAAAACATGCGCAACACTGGTCATCCAGCTGCCACTGTCCAATATGGGCTGATATTAAACTATGACGTCAACTGCAGCTCGTCTCCCGTTGGTGGTCCGTGCTTTATTAAGGGAATAAATGTGCTCTTGGCCGGTTTTAAAGACTTTGTTTAAGACAGGCTGGAGCCTGGATGCTGATCATCGACATCCAGACTCCAACCGGTCGTAAACATAATAATAAAATAATACAAATTATACAATTTATTTTGCGCATGTACCATAAAATGTCCTAATGCGCATTACAAAACCTGAACAATAGCTTCAATATTAAAAGTTCCAATTTGAATTGAACATTAGTCTTAAATGTAAAAACACTATATATTTTTAAAAAACATTGCAAACGATGAAACTTAAAATTACAAAAATAAGGACCTACATGTAAAATAAACAATAGTAAAACCTCAAACTGTAAGAGACTGGACATACTGCATTTCAGATGGTAGCTGGTTCCATAAGCATGAAGCGGCTTGTGCAAATGCACGATCCCCCATAGTCTATTTTGCATTCTCCCAGATGGATAATCTAAAAGCAACCGCCCATTGGACCGCAGGGAATACTTGGAATGGACCTTAACTTTCAAAATATCTATAATGTATCTGGGAGCAAGATCATGAAGAGCCTTGAAGGTCAGCAGAAGGATTTTAAAATACGAGATTGTATAGGCAACTAATGTAACTGAAAGTAGAGGAGTAACATGGTTCCACGATGGTTTGCCACAAACAAGCCTTGCTGCAACATTCTGAACTCGTTGAAGCTTAACTAATTGTGAATCTGATAAGCCATAATTATTATAATCTATTGCAATAATCAAGGCGACTGGTTATGAAGGCATGAACTAAGGTAATCAATGCATCTCTAGAAAAGTATTGGAGCATGTTATGATGTGGTGGTAATCTGCTTATGCATACTCAATTTTGGGTTGAAAAAAGACGGAGACATTCGAGTTTCTATCATGACCAGGGGCGATGGAACGGGGGGGGGACTTCCCCCCCCCGATTTACTTCCCCTCTTGTGGAATGTGGACGTTATTGTGGCCCCGAGCATAAATGTGCCCCCTTGAGATAAAAACCAATTATGATAGAGTTATGATACGAACGTGGAATATGAAAACCGAGCCCCAAACTTTAACAATTAATGCGCCCTTACAATGGGCACACAATGCGTAGTTCGCATAATGGCCTGTCGACATTTCAGCACGGATGTGCCCTAAAAAAATATGTTGGACGCTGCTGCACCGACGGAAGATGCCTTTAAATGAGCAATTTTCCCTTTTCTGTACCCCCCCCCCCCCAGTTTGAAAACCATTCCGCCGACGCTGATCATGACGACTTGTAGAGGAGCATTGTTTTGATGGCCAGTTTTCCATCTCTAGAGGGGCACAATATTATTATTGCGAGAGGAGTATTTGTGTTTTTGAGGGGCAGTTTTGCATTACAAGAGAGGAGACAATTTTATTTGTAGTGCGATCATAAGGGGCAGTTTTGTTTTCAACTCGAGGGCCCTCGAGTTGAAAACAAAACTGCCCCTTATGATCGCACTACAAATAAAATAGTTGAAAACAAAACTGCCCCTTATGATCGCACTACAAATAAAATTGTCTCCTCTCTTGTAATGCAAAACTGCCCCTCAAAAAGGGGGCACATTTCTAACCGCGGGAGGGGCACTTTTGTTGGCCCGGGAAAATCTAGGGAAGAGTCGATTGTGTTGCGGTTGTCTCCCACATTCCTTGGGCCAAGGGTCTTCGGCCCACCACCTTAATTAATCCGGCCTTGGATACATGTAGGCCTATTTCTGTTGTTAATCCCGGGAGCTGATCTTGACTTCAAGTCGTACAACTCATTACTATATATAACAGGAAAAGAAGGTCCCTGTGTTTTCAGAGTAAATACACTACCATGCACCGTTGGGAATCGAAACAAGGCAGGAAGAAATAAAGAATAGGGATGTGGTTCAGTGTTCCATAATGAATCCGAAGGGAAAGGGAAGTATAGTAGGTCTACTTTTTAATTAAAACGACTGTGGCATGATGGTGGCATCCTGCGCACAACGGTATGGCGTCTCAGCAAGCGGGCATACATCTTCAACAAAAACATGTAGGCCAAGATTTACCATCCGTTGCTTTTGGGGGGGGTGTCAGTTAAAAACTGATTTGTAATCAAGTCGTCCATCATAAGTCAGTCACAAACATTGACCTTTATTAAGGGAATAAATGTGTGCTTGGCCGGTTTGAAACACTATGTTTACGACCGCGCTTGGAGTATGGATGCTGATAATTACCCGAGCCGAATTATCAGTATCCACGGCCAAGCACATATCCCATTCATAAATACCGTATATGGAGATTGGCGCGCACGTCGCACGTAAAGCGCGTGCGATGTAGCGCAGAACGCATCTGTGCCGGTGTATATATCATTAACTTAAGACTATGAAATACTTACTCACTGGTAGTATTGCGCATGCCTACGTGAGGATTGTGAACGTTCAACCAATAAACGCTGAAAAGCACTGGATTTAATAGGAGTACACATTTCATGTAACACTAGAAAAGTGTTTAAAACCAGCCAGCCGGTCTTAAAACCAGCCACGTGACGGGCTCTCGACCAATAGGAATGGGTAAACTGTCTAGGTATTTATGAATAAAACATTAAATAGACATGTATAGCGCTATGATGACAAGTCAAATGATAAGTATCACATTAAGGACCATGTATGAACAATGACAGAAGGGATGACTTTGTTGCAGTTCATTAGAACAACTTACAGACTTATGACAACAACAAAGGGACGGCTGAAGAAGCAACTACAAGACGACTCATCATTTTTTCAACTTTTTCACTTTTTAATGTACACTCACACACTTTTGAGAACGATTTACAATATATACTTCGCTTTGGGTGATATTATTCTCACCATAACACTATTTAAAATCAAGGTGCACGACACATTTCTCTTAACAAAAACTGACTAAAACTGCCAATAATCCACACATTACAATAAACTGGCTTGTAGATGTGTTGCATACGTGTATACATTTGGGGAGCCCTTCAGTTTTCTAGTTTTTAAAAAATTCTCATTGTTGGCAACATTACTTTCATTCCATGGGTGCTGGAAAGGATGTTTAAATCTGACATACACTCACTGAATTTACATTTTAACAGTTTTTTGGGAGGTTTATTTTACAGTTGAACAAAGAAATTGACTGGAGCGCTTGAACCTGGAACCTGGGCCGGTTCCAGTGCTCTACTAACCGAGTTATCCAGCCCCGTGTTGGCGGTTCAACTGTTCCGCTAGTCAATTTCTTTGTTCAACTTAAAAAATTGTATAAATGACAATCCTCACGTAGGCATGCGCAATACTACCAGTGAGTAAGTATTTCATAGTCTTAAGTTAATGATATATACACCGGCACAGATGCGTTCTGCGCTACATCGCACGCGCTTTACGTGCGACGTGCGCGCCAATCTCCATATACGGTATTTATGAATGGGATATGTGCTTGGCCGTGGATACTGATAATTCGGCTCGGGTAATTATCAGCATCCATACTCCAAGCGCGGTCGTAAACATAGTGTTTCAAACTGGCCAAGCACACATTTATTCCCTTAATAAAGGTCAATGTTTGTGACTGACTTATGATGGACGACTTAATTACAAATCAGTTTTTAACTGACACCCCCCCCCCCAGGCCAAAAGCAACTTATGATACATCTTGGCCTACATGTTTTTTTGTTCAATATATATGCCCGCTTGCTGAGACGCCATACTGTTGTGCGCAGGTTGCCACTATCATGCCACAGTCGTTTTAATTAAAAAGTAGACCTACTATACTTCCCTTTCCCTTCGGATTCATTATGGAACACTGAACCACATCCCTATTCTTTATTTCTTCCTGCCTTGTTTCGATTCCCAACGGTGCATGGTAGTGTATTTACTCTGAAAATACAGGGCTTTCATGTCCTTTATATATAGTAAAGAGTTGTACGACTTGAAGTCAAGATCAGCTCCCGGGATTAATAACAGAAATACATGTATCCAAGGCCGGATTAATTAAGGTGGTGGGCCGGAGACCCTTGGCCCAAGGAATGTGGGAGACAACCGCAACACAATCGACTCTTCCCCAGATTTTGCCAGGCTAACAAAAGTGCCCCTCCCACTTTTTTACACTTTTGAGAACAATTTACAATATATACTTTGCTTTGGGTGATATCATTCCTACCATAACACTATTTAAAATCAAGGTGTACGACACATTTCTCTTAACAGAAACTTACTAAAACTGCCAATAATCCACACATTACAATAAACTGGCTTGTAGATGTGTTGTATACGTGTATACATTTGGGGAGCCCTTCAGTGTTCTAGTTTTTAAAAAATACTCTTTGTTGGCAACCTTACTTTCATTCCATGGCTGCTGGAAATGATGTTTTATATCTGACACACACTCACTGAATTTACATTTTAACAGTTGTTTTGAGGGGTTTATTTTACAGTTGAACAAAGAACTTGACTGGAGTGGTTGAACCTGGAACCTGGAACCTGGGCCGGTTCTGGTGCTCTACTAACGCGTTGGCGATTCAACTGTTCTGCTAGTCAATTTCTTTGTTCAACTTCAAAATTTGTATAATGACAATAATAAGATGTATATTTACATCACCCCGACGCAAAGTTCATCTTATGAAAAGTTTAATTGTGGTACCCGCTGCTACATGTACATCAGATTCCAACCAGCCAACCGATCCCGCAAGCTCGGTGGTCAAGTAGTAAGACGCCTGCAATAGAGAGCAGGAGGTCGTGGGTTCGAGTCCCACCCGAGTGATTTTATCCACCTTTCACTTGGGAGGTAACACACTGAGTATACAGTGTTTATACGTCGGTGAAGGGCAAAACCTAATATTGATTGAGTTCAGATTGTCTGCCTCAATGAAAGTCCCGTTCTGCCCCAGAAACATTGAATCGTATCAAGTAAACCGAGAGTCAGGTTTTTTTTAAACTAGACATTTCAATAACGGTTCTGACATCCGGAGATGTAGCCAAAGTAGGAGATGTAACTGCCATTTTGGATGTGCACTGTGACAGCTAGAGGATCGAGAAGTGTTTCTTGAGCTGTTCGAGTAGTTCTTTAGAGTCGCAGTGTTCAGGGTAAGCCTCTATGGCCTTCTTGGTTGCGTTGTAGCTGCTCTGTAAGTCTCCAACCTACCAGACGAGAAAAGGAGGGAATTCATATTAGATGTAAAGCAATCAAGGAGTTTATTTCTGTTGCCTCAATAGTGCCGATATTCTTTAACCCTAACCTTCTCAAATCCTCCAAAATCCTCTTTGCAAAATGGAGGATTTTGCAGGATTGGGGCTATATATGCAAAAATGTGTGACTGATTTAGGAGGATGCACTGTGTCAAGGTCTTAGGCCGGACCTTGTGTTGTTTATGCTCAGCCGTGCATAAATTTAGGCCTGTATTATACTTGAAATCCTCCACACTGCTCCAGGATGTCACTAGCTCTGCCTCAACATATTGACAGTGATTGCTGGAGGAGTTTCCAAGATTGAGGCAATTGTCACCCCTCCAAGGACCACATGCAAGAAATAATAGATGATTATGGAAAATTGAAGCTATATTTTTTTACATGGAGACAGTTGGAGGATTTGCAGGATTAAGGTTGCATCCTAGCAAAAAAGTCTAGGGAGTTAGGGTTAATAATGCATATTTATAAAGCGCACGTATCCACTCTTATTGGTGCTCAAGGCGCTTCATCATTATTACCCTGCTTATTGGGCCAATGAAACATTCCAAAGACAATCTCAGCTCCCTTGAGAGTATACAGCTTGATGCTGCCATTTCGACACAAAACAGCTCAAATCAACCACAGTAACCATCACTAACCTCGCAGGTACCCATTTACTCTTACTCCTGGGTGAGGAGAAACAATGAGTGACAAAGTGCCTTGCCCAAGAGCACACGCACCATGACCCAGGCTGGGCTCAAACCCACAACCTGCAGACCATGAATTTAATGCTCCAGACCACAAGGCCACGGCACTCCACTTTTCTCACTCCATTCACTTTTCTCACTCCATCCACCATTTCATTTGATATAGTTATTACTCTTTTGTGAATTCACAAGGCTACTTTTTCTGCCTGTTTTCTGTTTTACAAAAAGGACAAACAGATGCCAGTATATCATTTGTCATTCATTTTCTGGTGGTAACACAATTACTCTTCTAAGCTTTCTCTCTAAAGGCAGATAGGTGTTGGGATTGTGCCTTTGATGATACAAGCATGGCATTTGGCACACAGTCAGAGTATGTAACTATGTCATTAAAACATTATTTGGCCATAGGGCCATCGCAGATTTGTCCTTTGAAAAAAATATTGTTAGAATAACAAGCAATGGCAGCCATTTTCAAAATTTTGAAAATTGCTTGTTATTCTACCTATATTTTTTTAAAGGACAAATCTGCAATAGCCCTACAGCCAAATATCTTTCTCATGACATACTCTGACTGTGTGCCAAATGCCTACTTGTATCATCAAAGGCACAATCCCCCAAATGTTTCCCATATCTGCCCCACTAATTCCCTGCCAATATTTGAATTTTTTATGGCTAAAAAGTGAAGAATTTTATTTGAAAGTCCAAGAGTTTTTTAAGGTTTATTTTAGTCAATCGAAATTGTTATAATTGTTTTACCTGATCTGAAAGTGTCGCAAAGTTGTAGTGAGGTTCAAACATATGTGGGGCTAATGACTCCGCTGCCTGGAAAAATGCTCGTGCCTGAAAATAAAAACACATCAATTATTAATTAAAGCAGATTATTAATTGCTTGACTCTGTTAAAAACATACAGTACTGCACCCAGGGGGTCATGCCATTTGGAGAAACTATTTTGGGGAATTTTAATAAGGGAATAAAGATGTGCTTGGTAAAACTAGCTAGGGGCCTGGATGTGGATTATGGCCCGAGCCGAGTATAATCAATAAATGACACATATGATTAACAGCTCTAAATTAAAGGGAATGTACAACATTTGCTTTTGCTGCAATTTTCAGAAATAAATGGGTTTGGAGGATTAGTATGTTATAGCAAATATTGTTAAAATGACTTGTTTCACGTTTTGGGCTTGTGGATGTTGGAAAAACCAATCATGTTCTTGTAGTCTGGTTCCCCGACCCCACTTAAGATGAAACGGAGCAATTTATAGACTTTTGGGAATTTTAAAGTCAGAGAATCAGTCTAGCAGGCTTGTACCCCTTCACAGGTGTGCAATCAATTGCAAAGAAAACAATGAATAACTAATTATGAAAAACTAGAAGGTTTTGAAAAAAAGCCATTTTTTTCAAACGCTGGTCGGCCGACCAGCGTTGGAAAAATACCATTTTTCTTGAGAATGATAGCACACCAGGCGCCATGATTTTACAGGATGCTTTAGACTGTCAGTCCCTAACAATCCAGTAAGGTATTTCATGATAATTTGATCATTTCGTTTTGTGATGTTTGCAAATGTTGTATCTTCCCTTTAAAGTAAAAACACATCCGCTTTGTGCACAGTACTCTCACACATACATGTACAATTACGTTTCTCTTCCAAGCCGTCAGACCCTGCAAGGCATGCAATAATAATGCCTTGCAACTTGTCAACCTGTACTGCACTTTTGACAGGCTCTCTGCACTGACAACGTTCACATGAAACCAATTCCCTGAGGGCAAGCAAGCCTCTGGAGTTGTGCTTTCCATGCCCAGTACAGTTTCTTGAATTCCTAATGGGTTTTGATGCATGGATGGATCACACTCAAACCTTAGAATTCCAGGTGCATGAATTTTTTAATGGTCACACTTGTGGTACATGGACAAACCTTTTGAATCAGATATTTCTTGATTCAAAATTTTAAAAAAATAGCATGCTCTCTTAGGCCCCCCCAAAAAGTCTCTGGTTTCTGGTATGCGCGCGCGTCACCGTAGCCATGCGCGTTGGCAAAATGAAAACTTTTTTTTTCAATGAAAGATGATGTCTCAAAACCGCCAAACTCACTGGTTTGACTGGAATCCTGCTGCTGCACAATCTTAACGTGTTTTAATATGGGGTTATGATCGAGAATAAGCTTTATGTGGCCTCTCTGGACTCCCATATATTTGCACTAAGTTTAGTCGGGCACCATTTGCAGTCATCAGCCAACATTTGAAGCAAAAAAAAACAGGTGAAAAAAAAAAGCTGCGTCGCCGCACCACTTTTTGGGCAAGCTTCATACCAGAAACCGGAGACTTTTTTTTTGGGCCTTAAAATTCCTCATAAACAAACCTGGTCTAGATGACCCTTCCTGAGCTCCAGAACACCCAGGTTGTTGTAGGCCTCAGGGTGGTCGTTGTTGGACACTAACGCCAGACGGAAACACTGCAGGGCCAGGCTGGTATCCCCAATGCCCTAGGGAAACACGAGCATGTATAATCAATATTGTGCTTAGGTCACGGGGTCTAGGAGCTAGACAGTGCTTTATAAGGTCAGTATGTCTATTTTCAAGTTCAATAAATGTGATTCTATTTAATTGATATCCTGTTCTGTTATTCCTTTTACTTCTTTCATATTCCAGAGGCCCATTGTTGCCGCTGTGTTGATAAGAAGAGGCCTATTCTGAACATTGTTTTGGTAGCGTTTTAGGGTAGTCACAAAGAAAGGCTTGTATCCTTTTCATTCATGGCTGAATATCAGTGAAACTTTTTCAGACTGCAGTCAATACCCAGACCAAATATTGGCTGAAGAGAAAAACTGGTAACCTTTCCTGTTTTTGTGGGCGACAAGGACATGTCCAAAGGGACAATTTTTTTTACTTGCCTTGTACATCACACAACATTATGGCTGGTATCCTGTTTTTACAAAGCAGATATTTTCCGTGACTGGCACGCCTGAATTCAAATCTGGGACGAGTTCCGAACAAGTTGCAGACATTGTATCGGGTATAAGTTGCAGGATTCGGAACAACTTCCCCGCTATCTTCCCGCAATGAAGTTATCAGTATTGGTGAGTCAAGCAGTAATAGTTGCTAATGAAAATTTCCCCGGAACGTGTCTGGGACATATGCAGAGCTTCTTCCATGAGTGGTTCTACCCGCAACTTGTCTGGAACTCATCCCGGATATGAATTGAGGCGGGCCCTTAGCAGCTCCACAAAATAGTCCCCAGGATTTAGTTAAGAGGAAAAGGCGAAAAGGCATTGAATTCAATTTTTGGTAAAAGCATTTATCTCTGATGCTTACCACAGCCACTTGTCCTATATTATACCATATGTCGGCCGTCAGCAGGTCGTCGGTGGACAAGGACAGAGCGCGCTCAAATGTGCTCAGCGTCATGTCGTACTGCTGGGCATAGAAGCAACACAGACCTAGATTGTTGAACAACTCGGCATTGTACACGCCCATCTGTAGCAGTCGCCTGCGAGACAACCGACAGGGAGACAAAAGCACATTAGTGGAGGGAGGCCAAGAGGGCTTGAGTATTTTTTTTTCAAAAGGGAAAGGGGATTGAGTATGGGCTCCGTGCGCCATCAAAAGAGGGCGCATTTTTACCTCTTTTGAGAGCTCCGTGAACGGGACACACAGCGTGAGCGTACTGTACTGTTTGCGCCCACAGTAAGCACGACTTCCTGAATGTGCCAAAGCTATTTAGCCACAGAATCTTCGCGCGAATACTTTCGAATTTAGCTTGCGATGGTCTCCCTGACTAATCCCAGCCCCCAATAACTTTGGATCAATCGAAATTGCAGTGGATGGTTCTTGGTTCTTGGTTGGTTCTTCTCCTAAATACTCCACGTGGGAGTTTATACAGGACTCCCCCAACTCTCCTTTTCTGGCCGTTGAAGGAGTACTTGTGCACGGAGCCCATAATATCGTGTGCTATTTCCATATTGTAATATTAAAACTCAAAGTTATGTGTAGCTGATGGCTTGTAAAGAAGAATCGTTTTTGATTTTTTTTTTTTGGCAACAGTGTGAATACCACATGTGGCTAAACCGCCAACTGTATGGGGTTAATTACATAATAATAATAATAATAATAATAATAATAATTTGGGAGGCTTATCATCCTTACTCGCAGCTGGTATGCTGAATTGCGAAGGACGCGGCCACAAAGTGGTTGGGCCGCTGGCACGTAAAGGCGCCTATGGCTGCTGGCCACATCGACCCATATATGACCACGGAGCACAGCCTGAGATCGAAAGTGTTTGATTTTTCCCGAGGGAGGAAAACCGGAGGGCCCGGAGAAAAACCCTCGTGGCACAGGAGAGAACCAACGCACAACTCCACTCACATGTGATCCGCGGCCAGGATTCGAACTGTGGTCACCTTGGTGAGAGGCGAGCGCTTTACGGACAAGCCACCCATGCCACCTAACCACATACCTGTAGTAGCGTAGTGCAATCTCAGGTTGGTCTGTGTAGAAGTGGTAGTTGGCGATACAGGCTATGGCCTCCACGTGGGTGTTGTCATTGTGCAAGACCTGCTTGTAGAACTTGACTGCATTTGTCATGTCATTCAGGCCCTGAAATGGAATGGTTAGAGTTATGTAAAAATACATATAAAGTCTGACAACTCTGAAAAACATACCCTTTCTGTTAGGCAAAAAAAAAATACTCGGTCTCTGGTCAATTTTTTTTCTTTCTTCAAATTAACCACAACAGCGCCCCCTATTGCCGCACCTCCTCACATTTTTGTACCAAGGAGCACCAAGGAATGGGGAAATTGCACCAAGGCAAATGATAAAGGGCACCAAGGCAAATTATGGAGGACACCAATGTATAATGAGGACACAAAAAAGCAAAATAGTACCCACCTTGTCTGTACAATTCAAGCTTGAAAAAAAAAAAAACACTAAAAAAAAAACCGCGTCGCCGCATCAATTCCGAAACTTTGGTCTGACCAGAGACCGACTATTTATTTTTTTTGGTCTTATGAGTAATCTTTCCAAAATTATGGCACTGTCCTTATGGAAATGGTCAGTCCTTAAATGTGAGGTCTAAAAGTGTGACACCAAGATGTTTGCAACGGGATGACGTCTGTGTGTAAATTTGTGATAATAACTTCCAATTCAGCTCTGCATAATAATTTTAAGGTTATCTTCACATTTTGTCAAGTTGCGATCCCTGTGCTATTTTTGAGTTTCATCCCAAAAATTTAATTCCTTTTCTAGCAATACAAAAGTTAATCACTTCTGATTGAGACATCGACCCCCCAAAAATTACAGGTATTGGCTGCAAGACAATCATTCCGTTCTCGCGAGGTAGGCTGGTTCCCGCCCCACAATCAGTATCGATAATGTACGGACCGGGAGCCAGTCTGCCCGCAAAGCAAATCTGTTTGTGCCCAAAACAAAAACCCCTTTTTTCAAAGGGTTGCAGATGTAAAAAAAAAAAAAAAAGGAAAAAAATGGAAAAAAGGAAAAAGGAAGCTTTTTGGTTGGAATAAAATATACAAGCTGAAAATTATTAATAGAAAAAAAAATGAATTTGTTGAAGAGCACAGGGAACGCAACTTTTTTGTCAACATCTTAATTATTACCTCATATATCCTAGCTATGCCGGTCAGCAATGCCGTTTCTCCGGGATGTTTCTCCAGTCCCTGCTTGTAGATATCAATAGCTGTCAGTGGCTGGTCCAGACGTACGTAGACCTTACACAGATACAGGTATGTATCTACCATCTCCTGTTGTTTGAGGGCCGATTTGAACTGACGTTCGGCGTCGCGGTAAAGCCCGAGCCTGAAAATGAAGGAAGTCCATCGACGTGAAATTAACTGGCCTCACAGTGCCCCTCTTCATCAGTTTTGATGTTTTATAAAGGTTTTGAAAATAAAATGTAGGTTTTTAAAAGTTTCCCACGGGTGAAAATGTAGGCATTTATAGGTTTTTAGCCAGGGTGCAATTTTTCATCGTTGAGGTAGCAGAAATATAGTTATTTGTTGACTGCAAGTTCTCCACACTAGAGAAAGTTTCCTATCACTAACTTGCAGGATTTCATGCAAACTGCCCAATTCTGAGTTCACTTGTTATATTGACAATGTTCTTATATTGGCATTTTGAAACTGTGGATCAAATTGATTTTTAAAATTTTTTCTTTAAAAATTGTTAAAATGCATGGCAGAATAATTACAGGTTTTTATATGTTATATAGGTTACTTTAAAAAAAAAAGAGGTTTCGGAGTTGTGTAGGTTTTTTTTAGGTTTTCTAGGATTGAAAGGTTTTGCTGCGAGGCCTGAATTAAGGATTGTGTGTACAACTTCACTCTAAGCAGTAACAAAAAAATGCATAGTCTGCATTTTAAGCTTTATGGTCTCCATGCTGTCAATCATTCTCAATGCTGTCCAATGCATTTCTGTCCATGCATTTCTCTTTACACAAAAATGCTATGAGCCTTGTCAACATTATTGCTAATTATAAAAGAAAAGCATTCAGACGGTTTAGTGTTCTCTGTTTATTGTGGAGGTTTAATTTGCAGCACATTGTTCAGTTTTTGAGTCAGGAAACTGTATCCTCAACTAAATTTACCTATACGAGTCTCTACATCAGAAAAGCTTTCATTTACAATCTCCATCCCTACCCATCTACCAACTGCCGCCACCCCTGGTAGCTCGCCAAATTTAGAGCATGTTACATGAAGGTGAGGGAATGGAGCCTTAAATAAGTTACTGCACTTTAAAGATATAGTCCATCATTTGTAATTTGTGCATTTTGTTCGTTTGAAGCAACAAAAGTGTTCAAAATCTAAAGAAAGGGAACTGAACAACTAACCTGATGAAGTTTCAGCTCAGCTTCAGCTGTATATTTCGAGAAAAAAAGCATCCTAGGATCTCAATTTCAAATCAAAAGTTGCTGAACCATGTTTTGGATTGGGCCTGAATTCAGCGTCCGAGACAAGTTCTCACTGAGCCGATTGCAGTTACGCGATGTCGCGCACTGATCCGAAGAATTATAGCAACCGCGTGTGCCTGTGCGTCGTGCCAATGCTTGCGCGCGCTTTGCCGAATAACAAAACGAACTACTAATTTAAATTTTCCTACGGTGCGTCTTAAGAAGCACCCTTGGAAATGCCTTCTTTCGTTGATTACTTCAAAATGACAGCTTGCCAGAAAGAATAATTTCACAGGGAGTTTAGTCCCCTTACTATCTTTCAACCAAGTATGTTATTCAACAATAATTACGCCAGTTACTTTTCGGATAGCTGTAAATGATGGACTATAGCTTTAATGGATTTTCACCCCAAGCTTACTGACCTGTAGTAGCATTTTCCCAGTTGCACCTTCCACCACCAGTCCTTGAATCCACAGGCCTCAGTGGCCAGGGCGGCTAACTCTAGCGCATTACGGACGTCATTCTCGTGGTGGAATATATACTCAAACAGAGGCTGCAATGATCAAAAGGAGGATATCAGTATTGAAGTCTAGTCTGGTCACAAGTAAATCACAAGCCAATCTGTATCTGTATCTGTTTCTGTACAAACGCCTGGTGTGGCTATCGCGTACAGCCTCATCATGGTGTATGTATGAGGATAACTCACTGCCAGAAACACCGGGGCGAACCCCTTCTCTTAGCGATAAGTGTTTGCTGGATTCTTTTACGTGCATTTATACAACACACGGGACCTACAGCTTTACGTCCCATCCGAAGGACGAAGCAATAATGGTTAAGTGCCTTGCTCAAGGGCACAAGTGTCCGGGCCCGGGCTCGAACCCACGCCACTGTTGCCTCTGCAACACCAGAGCATGAGTCCAGTGCTTTTAACCGCTAGGCCATCTCAACCCAGTGAGATTCCCCAGTCTGGTCTCATTTGAACAGTGGATGAACAGCTAATACTTCTGTCGCAGTTCAGTTGAATAGCTTATGACTAGACTTGCGACTGGATGACTTGTGGTGGACTTGCGAGGATCTGTGAGGATTTTTGATGGACTCGACTAAACATTGGATGATTTTTTAGACGTTGGAGGCAGCTAACACACCGGTTCTTTTCAATTGTTTACGTCATGTACATGTATAAGCTCATGAAAAATTTAGTTTTCAAGGTGGAAAGCATCTTTCAGCAAGAGGGCAAGTTGAGTACACACTAACCTTAGCTAGGTTGGGTCTGGCTGCATACTTGCTGAAGTTCAGCCTGGCAAGGTTGATGAAAGGGCCGTCAGGGGTGGACAGCATGGAAGCCTGGACATGTCAAGAAGAAATTAAAACAAAGGTAATTTGTGATAAATACTTCATCCAAAGTGGTAAGCACAATAGACCGATTTCATATATATCGGTCTACAAATTGAATTTGTAAAAGTCCAATCATCTCATGCTATCTTAGTACAGTTTTGAATAACACCTCTAGATTACCAATAAGCTTCATATTCAGGGGTTTCAAGTTTGCGCCAATTTTCTAACATATCTTAACATCTCATCCTTGCAGTTTCAATTTTCATGTAGAATAATCAGAAAGAGCCCTTGCATACCCTCCAAGCTCCATCAATATCCGCCAGATTTTGTAGGATTTTGGAGGAGTAAGGAAGGTTCAGCCCAGCAACTTGTACTTTGCTTAGGGCTTGATGCCCTAGCTATTAACCCTTACCCTACTTGACCCTCCAATGCATGCCAATTGTGCCTCAAGAAAATCTCCTATGTTTTTTGCATGGCCCTCCAATATCTGCCATGTCATTTCAAGGGTAACTGGACAGGCACTCCAATACATGCCACAGAGAACAATGAGAGTCCTCTGATAACAAAGTGAGTGCCCCCAGCTGGTCAGTATCAGGCACCCTCCAGGGCCTCCAACTCCTGCCAATTGGAGCCTTCACTGTTAAGACTTGTTATCTGCCAAATAACTGCAGCTGGAGGGCATTGGCATAACCAACTGACATGCAGTAAACTACCCTCAGAGAGTAAGGGTTAAAGAATGTGACATTAGTTTCCTACACAGTTGTGGTTTTAAAATGATTCTGGAATGTTCGTAAAAAAAATCCGGATGACTTAAGATTATCGATCTTAACTTACAGTTCCCAGCCGGACGAATCTCCCCGAGGCACTGGTAACCGGCCGGGCAGTGTGTGCAGTCCTTGGTGTGCGGATGGCTTGTTCCATGGTTCCCGGCCGGCCGGACTGGGTGCCTGGCCGGACGAAGCCACTCAGTGGCCGGCCAGACTGGGATAAGGGGCGTACACCGGCGCTGGGCGCCCCCTGACCTGTGCCTGGTTTCTTCAGCGACGTTCCTGGCCCTGTACAATAGGGTCAGAAATTCAGGGGTTGCACATGAAAACTGCAAATACAACATTGAGGTGACACAAGTTTGAGCAAATTGGCCTGGAATAATTGTTAGCCATGAATATGATCCAATTTTTAAGTTGAACAAAGAAATTAACTGGAGCGGGGTTTGAACCTGCGACCTCTGTATTGCTGTTCCAGTGCTCCACCAACTGAGCTATCCAGCCCCATGTTGGCAGTCCCCAAATTGCCAATGTCTTTGTTTAAGGGATGCTAGTCAGGTAGCCAGGGATCAGACTCAAAGTCACGATACTAGCAATTATGCTGCAAACCTGGGAAATAGCAAACGGGGATCACTCAGAAAGGATACGTTTTTTTTTTTTATTACAATTTTTTTCAATAAAACCACAAAGGGAAACTGGATAGATACATGTATAATAATTTTCAAGTTGAACAAAAAAATCAACTGCAGGAGGGTTTGCAAGTTGAACCTGCAACCTCCGGATTGGTTCCGGCAATCCGGAAGATTGGATAATCCACTGCAGGTGCATCTAAAATCAACATTTTGATATTCGGCTTGAGCACCGGCAGTGCTGGATGTTTGAAAATAAAATGTACCAACTGGTCTGAACTAATTGTGTCAACTGCACAACAAAGTGACAGAAATAAAGAACAGTTTTAATGAACCATATAGTAATGGATAAAGCATACACAATCTGCAGTTGAAGGTGCAGCAACTAATTGCCTGACGCGTCATTTCATGGTGTGACCAACTAAATGGAAGAACGTCAAGTTCAGTAATTTTGCTATTAGTAATTATGTACAATGCATTTGCAGGCCTAAAGGATCATTTGCATTTACTCCAAAAGTAACCTGCTGGATTAGTATCAAAAAGCTTATTTTGATTACAGATTGTACCGGTACTAAGCACCAAGTGAATTTATATTCTTTCTGGCTTGCTGTCATTTAGAAGAAATCAAAAAATGTAGGTGATATCCAACGATCAGCCAACTGACTGATCCTTGGAAATAAAGAGTTCTTTTAACGAATTTGTGTTTCATGATAAAAAAGTTGTGAATGATTTTCCCTGTTTTCTCGAAAAGTTAGTATCCACTAAGCTGAAACTGCAACAGGTTCTTAGGTTTGAGAATTTGCAAACATCAAAAAACAAAAATACAAAATTATTATGAAATACCTTACTGGACTGTAAGTGAATGACAGTGTAAAGCATCCTGTAAAATCATGGCACCTGGTGTGCTGTCATTTTCAAGAAAAGTGGAATTTTTGTATCAATTTCCAACACTGGTTGGCTGACCAGCATTGGAAAAAACTCTTTTTTTTTCAAATACTGCCCCCAATTTCCGCATTTTGTTTGCAATCGATTACAGACCCATGAACGGGTAGCAGACAAGGCGGCTAGACTGGTTCCCTGACCTTACAATTCCCAGACGTCAATAAATTGCTCCGTGTCATCTAAAGTGGGGTTAGGGAACCAGACTTCAAGAACATGAATGTTTTTCTTGGTTTTTCTAGCATCTTCGAACACAAACTTCAAACAAGTCAGTGTAACAACATTTGCTATAAAATACTAACCTCCCAAATCCATCCATTTCTGAAAATTACAGCAAAAGCAAATGTTGTATATTCCTTTTAAACTCTGACAATACACCGATCTATCAGGCCTCGCCAACTGCGCGCATGTGGTCAAAAACAACACGTAAGCCTCTCCAATGCATCACTGTATGTTCCGGACGCATGCGTCATTGCGAGTGTACACATGTCGCACGACGCACACTTGTTAATGTATGTTGAACATTAATCATGGCCATGATTGGCCAATGGGGTGGAGGTTAGCAGACTGGTCTATCAAGCAGAAAAGCAGATTTTTACGTGTGATCTGAGCAATGGTGTTGTCATCCATCAACATCTCCGCGATGCCTTCCTCATCCACGTCAATCTCATCAACGTAGACCTGCTCTGTCAGGGCCCTTGTCTTCAGAGACCACGCCGCCTGTAATGATCAAAGGCATCAGTGGTAACTTTTTTTTTATTTTTCAAAGATTCTTGAGAAGCATTTAGTAAATAATACAACGATGCCAGGAATGTAGTCAATTCCATCACACGTAAAATAATGAGTCCAGTCACAAGTCCAGTCATAACTAACAGTAATCTTTCAGAGGGACAGAGCCTTGAATCAGACAGAAAAATTTAATCTGGCCTTCGTCAAATGTTCAGACGAGTTCAAAACTTTGAGGGGTCGTAAAAAAGTAACTACTGCCATTCACGGCTACTGACATACTTGGTCATATGGGTTTTTCTCCAACAGCTCAGTGCAGATATTGATGCAGTCTTCAAACTTCCTCCTGCGAAACAGGCTGTAGGCCATGTACATTGGATCCATGACGACAGACTGAAGTTCTTTTTACAATTAACTATGAGAGATAGAGTAACAAGTTCTCTTAGATAATTATTAAAATTATGGAACGAATGTTGTACTTTTAAGCCACTTTCATGGTTGTGCCTACTATAGTACTAATGCTCTGAACTTTAAAAAATTCATACAAAAAATTGTGCAACCTGACGCCACTTTTTTCTTCATATAATCATCTCAATGAAGGTCATTCATTAACCTTGGCATTACAAAACTGATGATAAGATATGAATCTGGGACTGAGAAACATTTCCAATTTTGTTAGGAAATACTTAGAAAATGTTAGGAGTGGCGCGGCGTCAGGTTGCAACATCTTTTCTAAATTCTAGTCTTTTCAATTTCAGGCCAAAAATTTGAGATTATCAGTCCCCAATTCATTTTCTTTTCAACAATGGATTTTCATTGTTTATGTGAAAAAAGTACTTGTACAAACAAGCACATAACTACACAATCGCCACTACATTTGCAATAACGTTAAAAGCTCTACACAAAGTTAGACTATCGCCTATCCCAGTTACCGCACTACGCAAGACGTCGTCCAGGCCAGCTGGGCTACACTATCGTCGCGCGTAAGCAAGACTCCAATCAAGAACGTGGATCACACAGCAACTGAACTAGTAACTTTGCCAGTCTGTATCTCTGTTATTAAAAAGGCAGCTGAGTATTAATACTAGGTATACTATCAACTTACAAATACAATGATAAAACCTTGATTATTTCCTTAAACTAGGTGACGGTACGGCGTTTTGCAGCCATAACAACCGAGCCTGCTGCGCCGCCAGAGAAAGAATTTTGGCTTCAAAAGTAGGGCGCCCTCAATAGTTCACTGACAATTTCACTTCATTCTACCAAATCATATCCCCCAACAAAAATTAGTATACAAATATTGAATGCTTCGAGTGGTGTAGTAAAACTAGCCTCCCGAGGTGATCCATGGACCTTTCTATTTTCCCGAGGCGAAGCCGAGGGAAAATAGAATGAAATAGAAAATAGAAACACGCCCCCCCCCCCCGTGGCTACGCCACTGTACATTTCAAACTCCAAAGGATGAAAAATAAACCAAAGCCTATTGAGAACTGCATGTTCTTATTTTGCAGATAGAAATACGGTTATCTGATGCGCTATAATTATTATTTTGAGGAACCGAATTTTGCCCCGCACCTGTCTTCAGGATGACATTATGGGAGGTAATGAGCTAAGTATGAAATAAAAAGACGGAAAATGAAAGGGTTACCAAACAGTGGATAAACAACACTCAACTCAACCCCAACCCCACCTCAAACCCCGCTCGCCCCTTCGTCAAAGGTGACGTCATAAGAAAAGTCATCGGTGCAATAACGCTTTCGTCTGCGCTGCAGGTGGGTAAGTGTGACGTCATCATGTATCCAGTCTTTTCAGTCGTTATCTCCCTGTGGAGGGCCTGCGATGCGTGTATTACCTCAATCTCATGACGTCATCTTCAGAACACAGAGTTGCCGGTTGCCAGCCATTATTGGTTGGTCATTGCACAGGGGTTTGTCAAGAACAAAGTACAACATTACCCATCATCGGTATCCTTCGAAAATCATCGTGAAAGTAGTTTGTATGGCAAAACAATACAAAAGAGGTTAGGTCAATATTACTGCTCTCTCGATGGCCATTGTCAAGTATATAGCTCATCTAAAAATGTGTGACATAATCAGGGGCAGCGGAGCCGGGGGGGGGGGGGGCAGGGGGCACTCCCCCCCCCCCCCCCACTAGATTTTCCCAGGCCAACAAAAGTGCCCCACTCGCGTTCATAAATGTGCCCCCCTCGCGTGAGATGAAAACAAAACTGCCCCTCAAACGCACACTTGAAAACATTGTGAAAATTGTTTCCGCTCTTGTAATACAAACTTGCCCCTCAAAAACACAAATACGCTTCGCGCAGTAACAAGATTGTGAACCTTCTCGAGATAGGAAACTATCCCTCAAAGCACAAACACCCCTCTCGCAATAGTAAAATTGTGCCCCTCTCGAGATGGAAAACTGGCCTGTAAAAAATAATCATAGTGCTCCTCACGCGAATAAAATCGTCACTGAACTGTAACCAAAAGCAACAGCGCCCCTCTCACGAAAAAAATGGTCCCTACATAGGCCTAAATAGTCAAATTCAAGGGCGGACCCAGAGAGGTTACTGCCGGGGGTGTACCGGAGGCCGAAGGGCTCTCTCAAGTGAACAATTACCCTATTTGAGTACAATACGGCTATATTGAGACTATTTCAGGAATAGGCCTACACTGTAATTTTTTAAGTAAGGGATTTCAGATTTTTAAAATTTTAACGCAAACATTATGTAAAAGTGTATATCAGTGTTGTTAGTAAATATTCTTTTGTTCCGGGTGACATGTATTCCTTGCAATGTGAACGAAAACAGTTTCACAATTTCACACCGACGGAAGGTGCCTTTTTCTGAGCAAGCGCCCCTTTTGGTGACCCCCCCCCCCCCCCCCCCCCCCCCCCCCGTTTGAAAAGCGTTCCGCCGCCGCTGAACATAATGTATGGTAGAGACGAATTCGATTGCCTATTTCTCTTATCAGTGTAGATTACAATGTACTTTATTATCGCACTGCCACAGTTAGGTGTGCAATGGCTAATTTTCCTTTCAAAAAATGGAAGCTATAGTTGACCGGAAATGTCAAGTTGAGCAGAGAGACACTACTATCCTTCGTCTGCAAACCACATTAACTTCCTAACCTCCTGAATTCCTAATTCCTAAATTCCTGGTTATTAATTGGGGCACACCAATGAATAATAATTGGGGATAAAGAAATAATTTAAGGATAAAATATACTTAATAACTATTTTGAGTGCCACGCCCTTATAATTATCATACCATACCTTACAATTTTGAAGAGATAAAAAAAGGGATTGTGTCGGAACCAATAATATGACCACAACTATTTATTTTAGACCCCCCTCCAAAAATACGGCTTTAACCTCAACAAGCGCCCCCAGGCCCGTGGCAAGCCTGCATTGTGTGCGGGATTTGGGGGGGGGGGGTACTGAAGAACTCACCCTTTTGTGATGGACTTCACGCATGCTAACACTGAAAATATGGACAGACCAATTATCAGAACAAGAAAGCACTCAGAGAGCGCAAACCTCCGCAAAGTCTAAACAAATCCCCGCCATATTGTCAGTACACCCAAAAGAAATACTCGCATAAATGGTGAAGAATCCTAAAAAAAAAAAAAAATCCTGGATCCAGACCCAGACCCCGATCACTTTCAAAATGTAATCGATTTGTATTTTTATCCCAAGGATCACCCCCTACAATTTATTTTATTGCAAATCCGTCTTAAACTTTTAGAGTTATCTTTTAAACAGACACACCAAACAACCAACCAACTAACCAACGCCGATGAAAACATAACCTCCGTGGCGGAGGTGATGTACTAATAATGACAAAATCAAACTTCAGTTACAAGTTTCGTTTGGGCAAACGAGCAAAGTCTGAAAGATATTGTTTAACTTAACCTTTACAGTTAATAAGATTAATATCGAATACCGAAAAAGTAAGATCAAATCTCCGCTGGTACCTTCAACAATTATTACATCACTGACGCCCACGTGGAAATTATTTACATCAAAACCGACTACGCGGGTAACTTCGTCAACTTCCTTCGTATAGATGCTGGTTTGATTTGACCGCAGTGTTGTGTTTTCTGATAATATTTTTCACAATGCATCACCCCCGCAAATACTGCAAAAAACTATATAAAGGATCCAAATCAACTTTTGCCATCAGTCGTAATAAACTCATACCCAACCTGAGTCAAAACCAAAGTCTCGCTCGTCAGCAATAAACGCGGTTTGGAGTTCACTGCCCGCCTTTTTTTTTGTTTCTTAAAAACACGAGGCGTAAACAGCCAGTTGTCATCGCGTTGCCGGTTCGACTTAGTCACTTGCCCACCCCTAAATCTCCCATCTCTCAAGCGTATTTCCTGAAGGGAAGACAGAAACACAAAAGGGGAAAACCGGCCACATTATCATTTCACGTTGGAAGGTGTTTCCGAATCCTGCAGACGAAAAGAAAGTAAAGAGACGACTGGTGGATTTCGGTTCCGAGACCAGGTTCGTTCTGCATCTGGACACCCCGTGGGACGAGCGCAGCTGCTCTAGCACGCGAATCCACGCACGTAGACCACCTTTCAAACAAACTTGGATGTCCAAAACATTCCAAAGCAAGCTTAAGAAGACGGCACAATTTGATAAGATAATCAGATCAACTAACGTCATCTATATAGCGTGCACTGATATCGCAAAACCAAAGCTCAGTTTATACCGGCGCGATTACTAATAAAACTGAGAAAATCAGACTCCGTTTTCACGGGAGAGTTGCTCCCAATCAGAGTCCAGCTGCCACACATTTCGAACCAATCTCTATAACTTGACTGGAAGCCCATTGGATGAGGATGGCTGTGTTACACTCGTCGGTCATTCTGAGGTGTTTAGCCCGGTTACTTCAGGGAAGTTTCGTCTCGCTGGTTCTGGTCGCCCTCGCCTGGGCTCTGCTTCAGTACAAGTAAGTAAACCAATCCGTTCGATTTAAAGCTTCGTATGGAGGAATAAAAGACTCGTTTTTTGTCCTCCCCAAAAACGTCTTAGCGAGGGGCACAAGGAGGGGCATTCCATATCCCCCTTTGGTCTATAAGTCACTGCTTCCTCTTTGAAGAAACCGACAGTCGCATTATATAATTGTGTCAACTGCAAAAACAACATTTAGAATCGAGGAAATCCCTGAATGTTCGCTGTTTTCACTTTCAAGTTCGCATGTCTGCACGTCCACGCTTCTAATACTGTGGCAAGGCAGAAAATATTTTTCAAATTGCATTTTTTTTTAAAAATAAGTGAGTGATAATGTTGTTTCTTTTTGTTTCAATAATTTCTATTCCTGGGGGAAATCCATTTTAGTTTCTGTTGTCGGTCACGGCACAATGACTGAATCGGCAAGCTTTCATAACACGTCTCCTTTTTTTTTTTTTTTTTTAGAGAAACTTACTTCCAAAAGTATACTGCCACCATACAAAACCTCAAATGAACTTAATTCCTATAAAACCGTTCAGTCCGTGCTCCTCAAAAAATATGATTGTTTTCCCCTAACGAAATTCTAATTTGTGTGTTTTTTGTACTAATACATGTTTTATTTGGCTCTTCTGCAACTCTCTGGAAAAAAAGTGTATTTTGGGGGTTGCCAATTCGCACACACAAATTTGCCCATGAAGTAGATCGGTTCCGATTCATAATCGATTCTGGTGAGATCAAAGACCAGGTTAAACTGCAAGATTTGAATATTTCTTGGGCCGCAAATAATTCGTAAAGTAATTATCCATAACTAAAGTGGGCCGTATTCTAAATAAGAAGTTGCAATTTAAAAAAATAATTGGATTGAAATTAAAAAAAAAAAAACAGCACGGACAGTAGGCCTACATCTATGATTACTGTTATAGTTCACGAGGTATGAAGCGTCTCCCCCACGGTCCCACCGGCTTACCCCTCCTGGGCTACATCCCCTTCCTGGGCCGCAAACCCTACCTGACATTCACCCGTCTGGCCCGGCGCTACGGCAGCGTGTTCAGCGTGCAGCTGGGTGCCAAGCTCCTGGTGGTACTCAACGGACGGAAGGCCATCAGGGAGGCGTTCGTGACCAAGAGCCGGGCGTTCTCCGGACGGCCGCGGTGGGTGCTGAATCGGGTCAACCAGGGGAAAGGTGAGTGGCAAAGTAGTGGGTACATGGGCGTCGCGAGGGGGGGGCAAGGGGGGGGCACTTGCCCCCCCCCCCCCCCCCTGGAAAAGCAAAAAAAAAAAAAAAAAAAAGACGCGAAAAAAAAAAGAAAAAAAAGAAAAAACAAAAGAGGCGCGAAGACAAAGTGGTGTAAATTTAATGAGTTGGGGGGGGGGGGAAATGTCCCTGCCCCCTCTAAAACTGATAATTCGAAAATGTGTTGAAAAATACAAGCATTTTTGGTCAAATTTTTTTTTTGCCCCCCTCTAGAAAAAATCCTGGCGACGCCCATGAGTGGGTATCACGATCATCGCCATCACCACTCTCACACTCACCAAATTTATCACCATCATGACCATGTTCACTAAACCTTTGTCAATATCGCCATAAATTTCATAATTTCACATTGAACACCATCATCAACACCATTTTCACCATCGTTACCGTTCTAGTCCGTCTCATAATCACTAAAATTAATAATATAACAACACAATCTCTTTTTTAACAAAAAATTTGCAAAGCAAGACACCATCGTGAGAATGACTATGTTATTCAGAAATAAATTACGGCCTAAATTTTGGCGTTATTTTTGCGACTTTTGCAACTTTGTGTTGTAACCCTCTGTCCATCTTATTTAACACGTCATGAAACATTTCTGCTGTATGTTACATTCAATACCAAGACTCTTAATGCATTTTTAAATAGTGTGCATAGTTTCAAAATCCCAACTTTCAACTTGTTTTATTTCTCAACATGTCTTATTTTATTTCGTCGGATTGAGAGATATAGGGACTCACATAAGGTCATTAATTGAAACCTCTGTCATCACCTCAGCGGGAATTAAGACTTGCCACTGCCCGTGGCTCACGGTCAAATACCGCAACAGACAACCCCCACCTAAACACCCCACCCCACCCCAACCTTACCAGAATTTTGATTCGCAGAGGGTTTTTTTTTCCATCAGTCTGTCCGAATTAAGTATCAATTTTGTTGGACTTTGCTTTTCCTGGATTTGGAGTAATCTTGTCGAGAATGAGACCAAAGTGCGCCAACCCAATGAAATCGGTAGAAGAGGAGCTTTAGAAGGGATTAATACTAAGCCTGCGAAACCGGCTCCAAACATGTTGTCGTGGTTTTGAACATCCTCGCAGTGCTGACAGAACCAGACCCTTGTTTTCCTTTTAGACTTTGGTGCTGCATGGTGTTTTAAATTTTACTGTTTTCAAGTAAAGGCATTGCGCATTTTGACTTCTTTTTTTTCGGTGGGTGAGTAGATGATTGTACACTTTTAAGTTTCAAACCGTATCATTGTAATAACAAAGAAACTGCTCAACAAAATTAATAATTTTCCTGTATTGGTTTGTTTACTGATGTCTTGTGGACACTTTAACACCAATTTCAATAAAAAAAATTAAAAAAAGAAGCGGACTTTTGTGGGCGATTCGCACGAAATGTCAAATTTACGATGAGGAGTTTTGATCTGACCGAGAAATATATTTTTTTTCTGGGATATTAATAAGGGCAATTCCACAGTAACTTTCGTTACATTTTAGGCACTTTGACACGCACAAAAGAGTCTCACAACTTGGTGCATTGGTTTCAACAGTCACACTTTTCTTTTATTTTAACACTGTGACACTATACAAAGTGGAAAGCTTCTTTTTTTGGGGGGGGGGGGTGGCAACAGTTTAAACTTGGGTAACTTTCGTTACACGAAAAGGGCATGCATATTTTTTGGAGGTCTTGATTCAAAAGTCTCCTTATACTGGACACGCATTGATAAAAGTAATATAGGCCTATACCATTTATTTTCTGGTAACTAAACTATTTTTAGTGGGGTATTATAATACAGGAAATCTCATTTCCGATTTTGGCCACATACCCTGAAATGGTGGTAACTTTCGTTACGGTTTGTCCGCCTATCTTTGGTTCATTATTAAACATTAATTTTAAGAAACTATAATCAATCAAAACACTCTTTTTGCATAGAATTGAACCTTTCTCCCTGACTTAAAAACAAAAACTCACAATAACACTCACTTTTGCATGTTAAAACAAGGTGCCAAAATGACTACCAAAATACACGATTTTAGCCAAAAAATAATATTTTGGGGACCAAAAAACACACTTAACCACATTCCATCCCACTGGCATACCACTCAAATGAAATATCTTGTCCCCTTTAATTTGATACCACATTTGTTGTTGTGATGCTTGTTGTTCTGAAGATATAATAAATTTCCATTTTTCAGCCTTGTCCACTTCTCCGTGGAATTGCCATAACCATTGTTACAACAGACTTATATTTCACCGTGTAAATGTTCCAGTACCGGTTAAGGCCCTGTTATTCTTATAATTCAACCACATGACTTGTACTTTTGACCAATCAGGAATCGCCAACCAGCAGGCCAATCCAACGTGGCGGGAACACCGTCGTTTCGTACTGTCGGTCATGCGCAGTATCGGTGAAGGCCGTACTCAGATGGAAAACAAGGTAGCGGAGGAGGTAGGTCCAACATTGTTTCACTATACGTCGATCTGGACAGACCTCTTTATACCGTATAGTTCGCATGTCTCACTGTGGTGAACTTGAGTCCAATTTGCATGGAGGGGCACATCGCCCCGGTGACATTTCGCCTTTTTGTGCACCTCAGAGCTGCTTCGTAAAATACTCCCTGTTGCCATTTGTACCAGTTTAGGAGCGAAAACAAAATTGGGCTACCTTTTCAGAAACGCTACTAATTTTGCCCTCCATCTATCTATTGATTCTGATTCTAGGACTCTAGTGCCAGTGGTGAAGTAAAAATAATAATATAATTTGGAGGCATGTTATTGCATCAATGCTCCCTTCAGAATTTTATTCTGTGATCCCATATTCCCACGTCGACAAAATTAATTATTGTCCCTAGCTCCACCGATCGAAACACACGGTATGGGGTAGGTCAACAGATGTTCATTGCCGATTGTGTATCCCCATGAAATATCAAAACAGTAACTTAAGGGGCGTTTTTTCCCAAGCCACATACGTACCTGTAAGAAGTTAATTGGGGTTTGGTGAAACCGTACGCGTACCATTTCTAATGGATGAGACAAATACGGAAAATTTTAGGGGAAGTAATCCACCATAATACTCCATCCTTCCTTCAGGTGTCCCATCTTATCGCCGAGTTCTCATCCCACCACGGCAAGGCGATGGACATGACCTACCCAGTCCAGCTAGCCTTCAGTAACGTCATCTGTTCGGTGTGCTTCGGTCAGCGCTACCAACCCAACGATCCGGACTTCAAGCGTCTCCTGCACATGGCGGATGTCTTCTTCAGTCACCTGACCAGCGCAAGCGCCGCGAACTTTATCCCGCTGCTCTGGTACCTCCCCTTACCCGGTCACCGGGCGGTCCAAGAGACGTACGCCGGGATTTTGGACTTCGTCTCGGCCAGGGTCGAGGAGCACAAGGCTAACTTGGACCCGGACTCCCCGCGAGATCTCATTGATATCTACCTGATTGAGATAGCCAAGCGCAGAGCTGAGTCCCCCGATCTACCAACAGAAAACGGTTTCACGGAGGATTACGTCCAGCACGTGGTGGCAGACTTGTTCTTTGGCGGCACTGAGACGGTCAACGCGGGTGTGTTGTGGGGCTTCGTGTGCATGGTCATGTATCCGGACATTCAGACTCGTGTGCAGGAGGAACTGGATGAAGTGGTTGGACAGAACCGCGCGCCTACAATGGCAGATCGAGCTCATCTGCCTTACACACAAGTAAACTTTACTGCTTGATTTTGCCAGCTAACGTTTTCAATTTAGTTGACTTAGTTGACTTCCTAGGAAGTAAAGAACTATAGGGTATTTATTTAAACACCAATAAATTTGAACACTTGGCCTACACAACATTTCATGACAGCTTTAAAGGATGGAAGCGTCCCGTCCACTAAGCTTTACAAAGTGCGAAAAAATGAAAAGAGAGTTGCAATACAATGAAAACTGAGAAGCTTTTGTTATCTGCTCTCTAAATTCTAAAGGGTGAAAATTCACTCCATTCGAGTGAAGATTCAATCCCACAGTCGGAAAGTAGGGGCTAGATGTTTTGGAGTGAAATTTCTTCAATCGTAAAGATCGAGTTTTCACTCGAGCTTCGACTGAAGTGGGTTTTTTTCCAGACTATTTCAATCGAAAATGAGAGTGATTTTCACTTTAAAACATCTAGTCCCTAATTTCACTCTTTGGAATTTAGAGAGTGGCTTAATTTCTTTCTTGATTGTAAAGAAAGCTTGGCATATAAAATTATCATCATTGTGTTCCCTTGACGTGCACTTACCCCTCTCAATCTCATATTTCATTTCTTCTGCACATTTTTCATCGGCAGGCCACACTCCAAGAGATCAACCGGCGCTGTAACGTCATCCCCTGTGCCATACCACACGTGACAACGGAAGACGTTGAAATGAACGGCTTCATCCTACCCAAAGGGACCACCGTCACGGCCAATCTGTACTCGGCCCACATGGACCCTGTGTACTGGCGGGAGCCGGAGCGATTTGACCCCACGCGATTCTTGGACGAGACCGGGACACTCATCAAGGGGAACGATTCCTACATGCCCTTCTCTTTAGGTAATTCCAACAGGGCCTAGTGACGAATTTTAAATTGGCACTGAAATCGAGGGCTTCAGTACTGTATTTTGTTGAGAGGATTTAAAATGAAACAGTCATCAATGTTAGGCAAAAAAACTTGAATAGTCGGTCTCTGGTCAGACCGAAGTTCCGGAATTGATGCGGTGACGCGGTTTTTTTTTGGGGGGGGTGGCTTTTTTTTCTTCAAGCTTGTATTGTACAGACAAGGTGGGTACTCTTTTGCTTTTTGTGTCCTCATTATACATTGGTGTCCTCCATAATTTGCCTTGGTGCCCTTCATCATTTGCCTTGGTGCAATTTCCCCATTCCTTGGTGCTCCTTGGTACAAACATTTGAGGAGGCGCGGCAATAGAGGGCGCTGTTGTAGCTTCCGTGTTAATTTGAAGAAGAAAAAAAGGTTGACGCGCATGATTAAAATCGACGCGCGCGCTCACCAGAGACCGAGTATTTTTTTTGGGGGGGGGGCCTTATACAACGTTTCAATTCCAATTTGAAATTCGTCAATGATCCAGGTTAATGGTGGACTGGTTCTCGCTCCCGCTCCCATAATATGGGGGGGGGGGGCGGTAGCTAGTTCCCATTTGGGGAAGGGGGTTGGGGGTGACAACAAAATTAATTTGCCGACAAAGACTGATCCGTGTGAGAAGGCATAGCCAGGATTTTTCTGGTCGCTCAGCCACAGCTAAACGGTCGGGCGGGGTGCTTTCTCGACCTACTTCATTCTGGGATAATCATGGATTCCTCCAACCTATCTTGTTAACATCAATGGCTTCATTGTCATTCACAACAGGTCCCCGTGCGTGTCTCGGGGAGCAGTTAGCCAAGTGTGAGATGTTCCTGACGTTCACCGGAATCCTGCAGAAGTTCCGTCTTGAGTTGCCTGAGGGAGGGGCGCCGCCTACGCTGGATGGCTTGCCGGGAATCACACACGCGCCCAGGGCGACCAAAATCAGACCAGTACCGAGAGATTAGTCAGATTACCAAAGAAACTATAGGTTTATAACTGCATTGACATTAGTGTTACTGCCTGATAGTAATTTGGACGTCGCGGTGACCTAGTTCACGTTCACTTTGCGTAGTGTCAGTAGCAGCGCTTGAACCATATTTTGCGTCCCCGTTAGGAGCGTATAGCGCCCTCTGTTGGTGTTATCTTGAAGTTTTACATGATTCACTTTTTTTTAACCGGGGTGAGGCAGCTATTTATTGTAAGACCTTCCCGAGGACCTACTGTAGGTTTTAACGGACATTATTGTTGTTGTTTGATCAGTATATTTATTATAAACTACATGAAATAAAGACGTGTACGTAATTCTTTCTGCGATTATGTAATTAACTTTTTTAATTTTTAAAGAATTTACTAGGTCTGTAAATAAGTATCCTTGTATGAGGGGAAATATGTATTTATGGGTCACTAAGGGACTAATTTTTTTCGGCATATGTGAAATAGGTCAACAATATTGAGGAAATTAAAATATTTCGTTGCTTGAATCAAACTATTGTTTTTCGAAGAATTCAGAATATAGAGGCATAGTAAATAGTGTGAATGTTTTCACAATTTGTGTAATGAAAAAAAAATAATTAAGCGAGTCGGAAATGTTTCTGTCGTTTTCATTATTTCTGTTGTTATGTGAGCTGGGGGGGGGGGCGCCCAACCAACGGCCCAGGCCTATCATGGAGTATGGGCCTTCACAACCAATCCCTTTTGAATATTTCCATGCCCGTAATTTGATATGACACCCAGCAATGGAAAGAGGAATCATATAAACAAAAGTACGAGCAAATTGATTAAATGCACATCGGAACATTTGCAATACTCGGAAACTATCGAATTAGCGAGAAGATCCTTGCTTGCTCAAAGTGAAGATATTTACGATTTGGGGACAGAAAGTAATCTTTGAAGGTGGTTGGGTTAAGAAGATGTCTACCCTACCACACAGGATGTTGATACCATCCCACCCTCCTCCCGGCTAAAAAGGGCACTGTATTTTGCCTCCCCGGTCTCTCGAGTTACTGGCCGCACCTTTGAATTTCCGACTCCTCCTACTTTTTGATTTTTTTTCCAACCCACGTTTAGATACCCCGCTTCAAAGAAGTATGCATTATGTCCCTCAAGCTCAACTTTCCACAAATCCTGCTTCCTCGTAAGACCATGGAGGAATCAGAGTTATTCCTCTATGCTAAGACTAAATCCGAGCTAAAATCGCCGTGTCAATTGGTGGCGCTGTCAACCGAAACAATCTCGATGGTCTGGTCGTTGACTCCACACACACAAAACAAACCATTACTCGATACAGGAATTTCACGAAACACTCGATGTTCCGGAACCAGGCTAATAAACTTTATGATAAAATTCGATGATGTGAGTGGTCGTGAGTCATGATGTTTTCTGGCTTTTTGTTATGACACGGGTGGGATGTGACTTATTTTTTGTAGTGTTATGGTAGGATTTGGTCGGATCGGACTGGTCATCATCACCACTTCGGAGAGGAAGTGTGCAATGTGTTATTTTCATCTCAAGAAACAATGCAACGACATTGATGATGTGTGTGACTGCGAATGCTCATTGTGGATGCATGGAGTTCAAGTTGTTCTCAACCGGAACTGAACGTTAAAGCGATTGGGCCGCGTATTGTACACCGGTTTCAGTCAACCGTTACCGTAAGTGCATTGATCATCCCGACGGGATTATGTTTATTCTTTTTTTTTTATTCAACAAAAAAGTCAACATCAACACGACAGGATAAATCCATGTGTGACTAATCACAGGCAGTGCAATACTCCCAATAGACTGCAGGAGTGCAGAGAAAAAAAGAGAGACAATTTCAAGACAGCCATAGGAAATGATTTGGTGGTTTGTTAAGCAGCGTTTAAGTTGTCAAACTGTGCTTTAAATTCAACATTTTTATGTCTTGTCCATACAGAAATAATTTTATTTTCGTTATTGTAACCACTTGAAATATATTATTATTGTTGTAGGTTGCGGAAAGAATGTAGTATCCATGGCATGATAGGCCACTTACTTTGGTTGTTACTATGTTAGCCCCACTAGTGTGGCCGCGATATTAATGCGCTGTATCTCTGGCCACACGCCAGGTGCTTCAGTACTACTGAGGAGTTTATTCCAAACACTGGCGCACCCTTTTTGGGCATTTTTGTTACATACCAGTGTATATGGTTGTATTCTATGATTTCTCATCTTTTGCCCTCCGGGTAGATTAGGTAATCTTTCTTCAAATTTTCGAGAAATTTAGCATCTTTCTGGAGTCCATATGCGCCAGTGTTTGGACTAAACTCCTCAGTAGGTTGGGAAACCAGACGTGTGGCCTAACGTACAGCGCAGCAATACTGAGGCCACACAAGTGGGGCTATTTGGTTGTGTGCAGTCAATTAATTATAGAGTCAAGTGCATTTTCAAATTATTTTCTGAAAAAAAATGAAATGCTTTTTGGTCACAAATTCATATCTTTTCGACATTTCTGCATTGTCTGACCTTCATTGAGAAATGATGAGAAAAAAGGCGTCAGGATGCAACATTCTTTCCTACATTGTAGGTTGCATTTGTCATTTGTTTCTATGCTATAATGTGCAAAAGATAGGCCTACTCCTGAATTTAATATTGGCGGGCCACAAATAATTAATTCTGTGTATTTGTTTCAGTAAGTTTTTCTTGTGGGAATTTTTTTTCGATGTCTCATTCAGAACAGAAGTGAATAACTTTTGTATTGCAAGAAAAATAACAATTTAAAAAACAAAGGATTTATCATTTGAGGCAAGGTCTAATGTGAGTTTATGAATAATTCTAATGTTTGCTTGTTTCCTTTGTTTACATTACAAACCTTTGGGGAGTCAGGTTGGTGTAGCGGTACTTTCTCCGCCTTCCACCGCTGTGACCCGGGTTTGAATCCCGCCTGGGCCACATGCCAGAACATTCTTCTGGCTTTTTCTCCCACATCTAAAACTGTAATTTCTTCACATTGTCTTCTCTTTACTGGGCCCCATGGGAGACCAGTAGATTCCACTGAACGGCCTACCCAGTTAAAATAAGAAATGAATAAATAAACCTTTGGCTTAAATTATCAAGTTGTTTGATAAATGTTAGTTTCTTGTCTCATTCTAAATTTCTGTAATCGCATTGTTCCATGTGTATTTGATGTTTGGACCTTATAATTGAAGGTATTTGTATTGTTTGTATTGTACATGATATTGTTAAAAGTTGCTATTAAACTGTACAATTTAAGCAGCGTTTTAAATTAATTTTAAGCAGTCTATTAGTAAAAACATATTATCTTTTTTGTTTAATAGTCCCCTTGAATTCAATTTGCTGTTACAATTTACTAATTTTGTCAAATAACTAGAATTATTATTTTTTTCTTTCATTTAGGAGTAACTCCTCCATAGAAATCAAGTGGGCATGGCAACTAGCATCAGCAACGGGGGAACCCACGACATCCTCAGCCGCCTCACCGACATCGATGTGACCGTGAGCAAGAGTTCAAAGGGTAGAAAGGATGGAGCACAGGAGGAGGGGGCGGGGCAGGCTGAGGGTGTGGACTGGAAGGAACGATACGTACTGCTGGAGGAACAGCTGGATAAGTTCCGCTTGCAGGCCACCAAGATCCGCACAGTGCTCGGGGAACGGGTAGGTCCTTTCAGTCAGTGTCAGTTGGATTTCTAGGATCCCAAATTTGTGGGTCAGCCCAGCAGAAAATATTGAACATTTTTTTTGTTGGTTTTTTAAATTTTTTTTAATTTTTTTTTTTACATTGGCTGGTAAACATTTGAAAGCAGTGTCATGTAGTTAAATACAATGTAACTTATCGTAAAGGGTGGGTAAATGTCCTATCTGACCATACTTTCAACTTGCGCCAAGTAAAAAGCGAAAATAACTCTTCTGCGCTTCTCAGAAACGAAAAACTGGTTTATGTTTATACTTGGCCTTGAGAGTTCATTCACGTACATTAAGCAGAAAATTGCCAGTGCAGCATCTTCTTAAACCATGCAAAATTCCAAACCTCATCAGCCCCATAGAAGTTTGCTGACTTGAGAGCACTTCCTATACTGTACACCTATACCTGTACAACTACCCATTTCAGTACTGTTTTACTTCTGTTATTTTCGTTATGCTCTACAGTGTTACGCAGCATAACTACGTCTGTACACCTAAATTGTGTGTACATCTAGGCGTTTGTTTATGGTGTAAATCGAAGACAAACACGTGCAACATCATCGATGAATTGAGGACAGGAACCAAATCGAGGACGACCTCGATTAGAAAACGTGTACAAAACCAATGAGAGCTGTTGCAAAAAAGAGTATAAACAAAGGAAAAGGGAAGAGGAACAATATAAAATCCTTGATTTACACCAGAAACAAACAAGTATGCATGTATGTAGGTGTGTTTATACCGGACACGTATGTGATCAAGGGTGAAATTGTGTGTCGTTTGTGCTACTTTTCACTCATTTTTTTTCGTTTATCTTTATCATATTTGATCAACACCGATTAGGAGTTAATTCATCAGTTTGCAAATGAAATCTCTACACATTAATTTATTGACTCACATTAAGGACCTCTGAACCTCCGCCTTACTGTGTGTCTGGCTTTTGTGTCCTTGTCAGCAATCATTTTCAAGTACTTGCTTTTTATAGATCAAGGGTATTACACTTTGGACTTTGAAATTTGCAACTGTGATATACGAAATAACAAAACATGTAGCTATTTATTATTATTGTGTACCTTACTTGTCCATATGAAAGAACCAGATTTTCCTCAAGAAGACAGATTATATCTCATTTACAAAAAAAAAAGTTTTTATTGCATACCCGATAAAGTAACATCTTAAAGGATGGAGAGGGAAATAGAGGTACATTTAATAATAATAATAATAATTTGTATTCTTAATATAGCGTTTTACATTAAAATCTCCAAACGCTTTACAAAATGTCAAAACCAAATAAAAAGTAAACCAGTAAGTTAAAAAGTACGACCTTTTGAAAAAAGAAATGTCTTTAGCTGAGATTTAAAAATGCCAGGTTCAGGAGGTACATGTATGCTAACGAAATAAAAATGATAATAAAAAAAAAAACGCTAACCCAATTACATGATCACATTCTTAGGAAATTGAACCTTAATTAATTTTTTTTTTACGAGATGTAACACAAATGGTTATTGTTCACTAAAATGATGCTAGTATTAAGTAAAGATGCACATTTCTTAAGACGTCTCATAAGTTGGTATTTCCATACATAAATTAGCATAATTTTCCTAACAAAATGTCACACGCGTGACTGAACAAAATGTCACACACGTGACCACAGAATAATTCCCATTTACTCAAACTATATAAAAGCAGAGGGTGTACCGGTACATTGTTTATGCATTCTTTAAATCACAAAAGACTAGTCTTACTCCAAAATAAGTAGGCCCCCCTATAGTTGTGTGTGTCCTTTTAACTTTGGAGAAATGCGTGAATTTCCGGTATGGGCCGGATAACATTTTTACGTCTGATGACCCCTCCTAATATTTTGACACAATTTGTGAAAGAATAAACTGTTCTCTGAGTTAGGGAGTAAACAGTACTAACCTGATGAATCAGTGAAAGTAATATATTTCAGATAGTTAACAAGGGGTAAAGCTTCAAAAATCAGAAGAGACCAAAGAATGGCCCAGAAGACATTGATTGAACCCCCCTCCCCCGAGGACCGACACACAAAGGGAGAACAACAGATCCTTTCAGTCCTCGGGCGTTGGGTCTTTTGTTGGAAACGGTCCTCAGTTGTAAGTTTGTGTGCTTAGTTTATGGGAGAGTGATATATTACACCTGGACAAAGGGAAACACAAAGCATTGTCCTCGAGAGTATAGTAAAACAAGAGTGTGTGTACATGTACATGTACAACACCAAGGATAGTAATACTAGTCCTTTTAAATGTCAGAGTCATTTTTAACAAAATCTAGTCAATCTAGTGTTTTATTCACATTGATGCTACCGGTACACGTGTGTGATCATTTTTTTCCGTAGAGGTAAATTGCAAAAAACAGGAGACATTTTTTTTCTAATTTTAGAACCCAAGGTCAGTTTAATGTACTATCTTGAGGGAAACAGTGGTTAAATTTATATCGGGATGTCGCCAATACTTTGACCTAAACCACCATGAACCGGAGAAAAAGGTGTAACCAATCACAATTAATTAATCTTTGGGTGGGAGTGAACCGCGCGTTAAGCTTCATCAAAATTAATTGTCACAGAAAGTCATTGAGGAAGTGGCGAATTTACACTAGCGTGCGCTTATTACATACGGCCTGTTAAATTAGCTGTCATACCGGGTAATTAGGAGGAGTTTGGAAGGTCAAAGTCAATTTTCTTGTTTATTTGAGTTCAAATGAAGTACAAAAATACTGTGTAATGTTCTCTCCCCTTCCTGTATGTTCACTGTTTCAGGCATGTGTAGTGATGTAAAGTGGAATCCAGCGATCAGAATTAGAAGCTTTTACTGCGTTGGTGTCACGCTCATGCTGCGCATGTTCTCAAAGACAAGGCGCACGCGCATTTTGGCATTCTATTGGAAAAAAAAAATATGAACTTCAGTTCTTTTACACTATCATCTTGATACCTGTGTTGATAAAAATGCGAGTCTATTGTGTACGTGTTCTATAAATAACCCCCAAGTACCAACACACAAAGGGAGAACAACAGATCCTTTCAGTCCATGGAAGTTGGGTCTTTTGTTCACGGTCCTCTGTAGTATTACAGGGACAAAGGGAAACACAAAGCATTGTCCTCGGGAGTAGAGTAAAACAAGAGTGCGTGAGCAGACCTGGGTCAGATCAAATACAGGTTGACAATTGCATGCCGTTCACACTAACGAGTGGTTTGTACATGGGTCGCCATTTTCTACCCGATATTCTACTTTTCACCATTGGTCAAGGGTTAGATTTTACATACATACATGCCGTACATGTGTAGTGTGAAATGGGTTGCTTGAATCTTGGTGTTAACCGGGGTCCAGTATGGAGATTGTGGATAGTATGAAAGGGACTTTTTTAAAAATGCCAGAAGAAAATTCCACAATGTTATTAATTTCATTATACCGTACTTATAGTAGTGAATTATTACTAGTAGATATGTAAGCTGTAAGTCTTGTTGGTTTTTTCCTGCTATTGACATTTAGTTTGAAATTGATTGTACGAACTCCAGGGTTACGTGCACGCTCGCTAGTGCACATCAGCACACACAATGTGACATTTCATCCATACATGTAGGCCTCGGTACAGACATGTTCCTGACTGTACTTTCTTGCATTGATTCATAGATTGTGCTACTACATTGTATATATCCATATTCCTCATGAAAAACAAAACAAAACCAAACAAAGTGAATGTACATAAAAGCAAAAACAAAACTTGAATCATGTAAAAGTGCATGTCTGGGAAATGATGCACATGTACATGTGTGTACATGTCTGTTAAAGGGAAATGTACATCATTGGCTTTTGCTGTAATTTTCAGAAATGAACTATTTTGAGGGGTTAGTATAACAGATCAAATATTGTTACACTTACATGTTTGAAGTTTTGTGTTCGAAAATACTGGAAAAACCAAGAAAAACAAAAATGTTCAAGAAGTCTGGTTCCCTGACTCCACTAAAGATGAAATGGATCAATTTATAGATGCCGGAAAATTGTAAGCTAATGGAACCAGTCTAACTGGCCTGCACCCGTTCATGAACATGTAACCAAAAGCAAACAAAATTTGGACTGAAAAAAAAAATTGGTAAATTGGGAGCAGTGGTTGAAAAATAGTTGGGTTTTTCCAACGGTGATCGGCCGACCGCCGTTGGAAATTTATACAAAATACCACTTTTCTTGAATATGACTTCACTCATGGTGCCATAATTTTACAGGATGCTTTAGACATACATTTGTAGACTGTCATTTACCAACATCCTAGTAAGGTATTTGTAAAAAAAATGGTAGTTTTGTTTTTCGATGTTTGCAAATGTTGTATATTCCCTTTAATGCAGGATGACTCTGAGCTTCATTCTCAACTGTGCACTTTCACTTTTGAAAATCTTTCATCCATACTAAAAGGAATTGAAAGGCCAGTTTATCTTTACTATGAAATGTTCATTGTGTAAGTTTGTGTTATTGCATGAGCTCGTACCAGTTCAGTGGAGTATGTCTGAGCACTCCGAGGGCTGTGTATGGGAACCGGGTACCCGAGTACCTGACCGTTAATGTCAGGAACCGGTTCCAGATTATGGGATCGGGTACCTGTAACCAACTTTACAAATTACTTAATAACTTCTCAGACAATGTGAAAGAAAGGATTTGAATGCCATTTGTGGGGAATTTTCAAAATTAAAACCAGGCTACATACATGTACCTAAAACCAATTGATTTCACGTTTATGTGCATTTTAACGGGCGGCAGATGATACTCGCAAAAAGTTGCAGTTTACACCATAAAGCTACGGTATGAAATCCTTCAGACAACTTCCGGGATTTGAATTTTAGGGTTTGCCTTCTTTTACGGGTACCCAGGTACCCATATCTGACTTCAATCAAAAGGGTCATCCCGTGTCAATTTTGGACCCGACCCTCACAGATTGAAAGATATTTGGTGTGATGATTGGCCATATGAGAAACCCCCAGAACTGAGTTTTTGAGATACGGGTCAACAAACTTTTGACTTAATAGGGTACCTGTTCCAGTTGGTGAATAAAAAATAAGACATTGTGTAATGTCTAATGTGGACATGTGTTATCCCATTGAAACATATTTGTACAAACTTGGCAGCTAAAAGAATAGCACAAAGTACAGTACAATACCTCTTATCAATGCTACAGTATGAGAATCTTCATCTAGTAGAGTCCGGATCCCTGACCAAATCCAACAGGTGTATAGGTAACAGGTGTTTTTGCGACAAGTTCCCTCCAATCAAAAGATGGATGGAAGAAATCAATCAAAACATCAAACCTGCTGTTCCCAGAGTTAAATTATACCCTACATGTAGGTGTTAATCTTACTGTGGAAGTTGGTCATTAGCTCTAAAAGTGAATTTGTTTATAGCTCTAAAAGTGAATTTGTTTTGTGCGTGTGTGTGTGTGTGCGTGCTTTCAATGACCTTATATTGCATTTCCTTTATGGTCAAGGAAGATAAATACATAATTGAAAATCCAGCTGTGAAAGTGTAAGTTGGCCTTATTTTTTTGTCCTTAAAGAGTCCTAAAGGATAAAAAGAGCGTACCTTTGGGTTTGGGTCAGATGTTAATTTTGATTAAAATTGTTCTGGTTTTTGCAGATGGAGGATTTGGAAGAGAAAGTTAAAGAGTCCAATGCAAGAGCAGAGAAAGCTGAACAAGAGGTATGTACGGTACCCCCCTAACCAGGCCCGTCACCAAGGGGGGGGGGCAGGTAGAGCTGCCCCCCCCCCTTGGCGAGCCATTGCCCCCCCCACGGCAAAAGCCGTATGTATTTTTGTATTTTGTATGGTGGTGGCCCCCCTAGTTGATACTATGGCCCCTCCTGAGTGATACTCGGGGCTGGCGACGGCGCTGCACCTAACCCAAGATACTTGAAGGGCCATTTGAAGAGTAGTCGTTGCTATGGAGGTCATGACTTCACTGAGTCATTAAAGATCATGTCCCGTGCTCTTCAAAAACACTACGCTATTCCGATGTTGTGTCTGCAACCTTCTGAAAAAAGGAAATCCATTTTACGCACAAATGAACCCACACTGCGAAAGCTGAAGTATTATTTGGCAGCCAATTATTCAATTTTTGTGACAAACATAATTCAAGAACTAAACGGCGGTGAATTTTTCATTCAATGTCTTATTCAAAAATGAACTTTTATATTTCTAGGAAAATAGCAATTGAAAAAATAAATCTATTATTCGAAGTGAAACTCGAAAATAGCACGGGGAACACGTCTTTAAAGTGGTTATTGTATTGTATTTCTCAGAATGTCAACTGTGTACTCACATACATTGTGATAGGAAATTGCTTTTGGATTGGATGGTGAACAGAAAACCATTAGTTCATGTATAGAGAAAGGCTCATGTAATTCTGTAATGTTAGATTATCAGGCACATGAAGTTTGCATGCTACACATGTAGCACACGTACAGTGTGCATGAAAAAGAACATTTTATACACGACATCATTGACATACATGTAGTACATTGTATGTACATGTAAATTTGTATTTTCATCCATTCTCCACACTGTAATGTTTTCAGTCCAACCATGTTCAGCAGATGCTTGTGTACTGGAAAAACATGTACATGTAGTTTCAGTTTTGTTCGTCACACTTGATCAGAGATCTTACATGTATCTGAAACCGTACTTCATGTTCTTCTCAAGCTGAGTAAAAAAAATAAACAGATTCTTGTACAGGCTTTTTGAACAAATGAAGGAAGCTGGCACCCCCTTCCCGTCCACCTCCCCCTCTCCCCCCCCCCCCCCCCCACCCTCCAATATGGCGGATTTTCCAAGATGACAGATGGATTCTTCCAGTTTCTCGAATCTTAAAGCTATAGTCCATCATTTGCAGCCATCCGAAAAGTAACTGGCGTAATTATTGTTGAAAAACAAACTTGGTTGAAAGATAGTAAGGGAACTAAACTCCCTGTGAAATTTTTCTTTCTGGGAAGCTGTCATTTTGAAGTAATCAACGAAAGAAGGCATTTCCAACGGTGATTCTTAAGAAGCACCGTAGGAAAATTTAAATTAGTAGTTCGTTTTGTTATTCAGCGCAGCGCGCACAAGTATTGGAACGACGCACACGCGCGCGCGGTTGTTATAATTCGTCGGATCAGTGCGCGACATCGCGTATAGCTGCAATTCAAAACAATTCAAAACATGATTCAGTAACTTTTGATTTGAAATTAAGATCTTAGAATGCTGTTTTTCTCGGAATGTACAGCTGAAGCTTAGCTGAAACTTCATCAGGTTAGTTGCTCAGTATCCTTCATTAGATTTTGAACTCTTTTGTTGCTTCAAACGAACAAAATGCACAAATTACAAATGATGGACTGTAGCTTTAAGCTGATACAAAATTGTGTCCAAATCAGCCGTCAGCCCGTCACCCTTTCTGCATATAGCTACACTTTTTTTTTTAAACAAATAAAAAGACTAATATATTGACAACATTTACAAAATATATTGCAAATGTATGAATTAAAAAAAAAAAAGGGAGGCAGGCAGCAAAAAGGAAGCAAGCGAGGACGAGAAACTAGTTTATTTATTTTTTACTTGGCCTAACCTTGAGAGGTGCACTTGAATTTAGCCTGAGGGAGAATAGGAGTTGCACTGTGCATTCATTTAGTTGAAGGTTAGGTCCACCCTCCAGCAAATGTTGGATACAGTCGGGGTACTGTGTACTGTACACGTCTACATTGTACATTTGGAGCGATAAGGTGCGGGTAGAATAACAATTTGTCACCTCCAAAGCTGTTATTACACACTGTACTGTACATGTACATGGCATGTATGTGTAAGGTACCAGTGTCATGTAAATAATAAATGGGGGTACAAATGGATTATTAAAGTTGGGTGCAGGCGTGGCATACATTTCATTTTAATGGATGGGAGGTTTGCGGTACCACCATGTGAATGATACCGTATCTCTTTGTGAGTTGTGTGGTTCTGAGAAGAGCCAGTTGGTTCTCATTTAATTTTAAGTTGGGTACATTGTGTGGCAAACTTACATGTCCGGTTCCGGTACATTATATGCATACGTACCAGACAGGCATATTGTTAAAATTTTAAAGGAACTACATAGGCCTATATAAAGAAAATCATACAGTATTCTACATGTAGTACATGTACGCAATTGACAAAACTGTTCAGTCATTTGAGTTGTGTGCCTCTGATTATGTAATGCAGCTTTTCTTGAAACTCCCAAATGCATGATTTTCCTTGAGTCACATTGCAAAGCGCAAGGCACTTAATTTTTTGCTGTATTTTTGCTGTAATTTATTTGCAAAATGCACATAAAAATTGTACAGTTCCTGTACCTGTGTGTACTTCACTAATTATTTATGTGTACCGTTGCAATGAGGCTTGTTTAATTTAATTGTTGGCTTTATCAGTGGAGGACCAAATGAGAACAGGTCCACACTGAACTGTATGTTCAGTGTTCAGTACATGTCCAATATAATAAGTTTTATCATGTACCGGTACTAGTTCCATATTAAATGAAAAATAATGGAAATTGAAAGTACATACGTGTACAGTACAGGTAGCAATACATGTTCAGTGTACATTCAGTAGGGGACGTTGAACCCATGGTTGAACAATAGAGGACAATAGGGTCCCCAATTCCCGAAGGTCCCCAATTTAGTGATAAGTACAAAACATATGGGAGGTCTTCCTAAAAAGTTAAAGTACAAACAAAAGAGGGAGAATAGGGGGTCCCCGATTGCAGGCAAAAAAATACACACTTGTGTGCAATGTAATTTACATACCATGTACATACATGTGTTACAGAGTTTGTGTTCTTGCAATATTCAAACAACTTTCTACGACAACTGCACTTTTTTCTCCTTATCTCAACCTCTCGGTTGTTTCTTCCTTTGTAATTGAATCAATCAGTACACCGTTGGATGACTTTTCAAGAAGCTGAGGCCAGTAGCCATGATTTGCATAATTCAATATGCAGGAAGGGAGGGAAGGGAGGATATAGTACTTGATAACAACAACGAGTCCTGCCAGGCCTAGATTACAAATTAAATATGGATTGTGCCTGGGGCAGTGTTTCTCTTCTCCGCTTTCTCTTGTATCCAAATGTGAAGGAGAAATAACAAGTTGAGGAGATGGATTTCAATATTAAAAGGCATTTGGATTTCAGATCACGGGATGTCAGTTGACCCAGGGGAGGTTTTTTTTTGGGCTCACTTTTTTTCCTCCATTTTCCCCCCTTCATTGTATTATACAATTTGTTGGTTGTTGCTGTTTAGCCTTTGTTGCGCTGACTGAATGATCATGCAGAGCTACCGTATAGCATAATATTTACTGGCATTGGAAATTTGTTTCTTCATTTTACATGTATGTCGACTCTCGTTAGTACAAACTCTGTTAATACAAATTCTGGTTATAACAAACATAAAGCCTTGGTCCTGACTGTGCATTTATGTGCACAATGAGTGGGGCTGATGTTCCTCTTAATACAAAATTCTGATATAACAAACAATTTGGTTACCGTAGGTCCTAACGAGTTTGTATTAACGAGACTCGACTGTAGATGTATTACAGTGTACATTGTACATGTACGTGTACAGTTTACAGCTAACAGTACTTGACTACATGTACAGTAAGCTGTAGACTGCTGAAGAAATTATTGCCAATACTGTTTGAAGTCCTTGTTTTAAAAAAAACAACATATATGTTCTATGATTAGAAAAACTGGTTTTTTTGCCAATCGCTCAGCTCATCTGATGAGCGACTGGGAAAAATAGGCCTACTTGTTGAAATTTTCATCAACTTCTTCATCACTGTTCCAGTTTTTTGATAATGTACCCTTTTTTTCCTTTTTTTTTTAACTTAGTAGGCCTACAGGTCTTTTTTCCCCAACATTTTTTGAGAATGAGTAGGCCTAACTGTTGAGTGAGTGAACACATTCATTTCTCAATATAGTGGACATTTACAAAGATACATCCATGTACATTGTACATACATTGTAATACAGTACGGTACCTGTTACTTGTCAGTATATTCAGATCATTTTCTACAATAGTAGGAAATGGAGTAAACCAAAGGTACATGCAGATAGAGAATCTTCATTAAAGGACAGAACAAAACAGAAGTACAGAACAAAACAGAACATTTACAATTTCTTAAGTTAAACTTGATGGAAGACACTGTGTGTAATGGGGAAAAAAACAAGAAAAACAAAACAGCATTGAAGTAAAGTCAACTTTGTGTTCTTTAAGTAATGTTCCACATGCTTCTCCACACAAGTTTAAACACTACCGCTACATGTATGTCACTCACTGCCTTAACATGCTTAATAATGCATGTGTGATGTACATTTATTTATGCATACATGTATACATTGTAATGTACATGTTGTACTGGTTGAACAAATGCAGTGTATGGCACATACACGTACTAGCAGGACGCTGTCTGCATTCCGGATTTCCAACAATGCGCTTCAAAACTTGAATGGTTTGATTGACGACGCAGTCAGACTCACATTGACCAACATTTTGACATTCAGGCAAGGTTCCATTTTTCCACTCGATGCAAGGTCCTTTCAAGCCAACAACAAGTCTTCTCCCAACACAAATCAAATTGATCGATACATTTCTGCAACACTTAAGAAACAATTAAAGCCCTTGATGTAGACCTCCAATGAAATATTG